TTAGAGTTTGGAGACCACCACTATATATAATTATTCATAAATTAAAGGTCAGCACAGTTTCATGTTTGAAATATTTAAGAAACAATCACAGATTTTTTCTAAAATACTTTCTGAAGATGAGTAGTTTATTTGATTTATTGTAGTTGTAAGATCTACCGCCTGCTTAGGACGGATGTCATTAAAAGGGGTCATTTAAAAACCTTAGCGAGGTTTTAAATTTGTCTTGACTTTAAACCAAAAAATGATGTCGCACTGGGGCCGATATTTACGGTATGCATTCGATGCAGCGTTATTGCCTGAAGAACTAGTGGACAGTCGAGCTCACTGCTTGCCGACGAGCGCATTTGTCTAAGGCTGAAGAGCATCGTCAGATTTGAATTTGAGGGCTTCTACATGTTGAGTATGGACGAATGCCACAAGGAGGGATTAATGGTAGCTCCAAAATCGGTAAGGTTAATATAGTGATTGCACCACTTGGTAGATCAGCTAATATAAAACAATATTACCTAATATTTTCTTCTTAGATAAAATAATATTATTAAAAATCAGCTTAGTACAAGTATTAGCTAATCCGAAGCTATTTGCTATATGTTTTCGTAAATAGTACTACATGTAATCCAAGGAACATACGTTGATATGTTTTTGTAAATAGTACTACATGTAATCCAAGGTTATACGACTAGCTGAAGTATTACTTAGCAATGGTGAGGGAAATGAAGTCGGGCTAATGGTAACCAAATCTCATATGATATTTTTAAAAGTAATAGTACTATTTTCGATATCAAATTTAAAAGTAACTATTTTTTTAAAAGTTAAAATAAAAGTTTAAATTTAACTTGGACATTTGAAAATATTAAATACGAGATAATATTTTTTGATATTTCCCACTTAAGTACCTTTCTTGCTACCTTACCCTCTGTGAACCGAGGGCTCACTAAAGAACTCTGTCGGTCAGGTTCTAGAACAGCAGTAGGCTTTAAGACTGACGAGTATGTGCTCTAGTATTTCACCGTGACACAGACAAAGGCGATCGAGATGGAAAACTGCAATCGCTTGCAGTTGTTTAATGTCGATAGAGCAAAATCAAGATATTTGTTCTTGTTCTCTACCGATAGCCTCGTCCACATCGTGCGTCTAATAAACCTGCAGCCTGTAACGCTAGATATATGCGCTCAGCAGTGCCAACACACGACGCCAACCTTGCCGTCACTGTCACAATCGTCCCGTACTCCATCTCCCTCACGGTTGATTAGTAATACTTCAGCTAGTCGAACGCTAACGACATCTGGTTGGTGGATTTAAACAAATTTCGCAGTCTTTGAAAATTATAATACATGTACCGTATTAGCAAATATTAAGTTGATATTTAATAATATCATTTTGTCCTAGAAGAAAATACTAGGTGCTATTTTTAAAACTAACTGGTCTACAGGTGATATTTTTACAATATTAGCTTCACAAAATTTTGGAGCTACCATTAGCCCGGGACAATTGTGAGAGTGATGGTGTGGTGTGCTGGTACTGCTGAGCGCATTTATCTATTTAGCCTGTGACGCTGCAGGTTTATGAGACGATCTAGACGAGGCTATCGGCAGATAACAAGAACAAACATATCGATTTCGCTCGTCTCGATCAACACGAACAAACATATCGATTTCGTTCATCTCGATCGGGTCACAGTGAAATACTAGAGCAAATACTCGTCAGATGTAAAGCCTGCCACTACTGCTGCTTTAGAGCTTGACCGGAAGATTTCACAGAGGGTAAGGTGTCAAGAAACGTACTTAAGTGGGAACATATCATCCAATATCTAATATTTTTTAAATCTCTGAGCTAAAAACGAAACTTTACTATTATCGCTTGAAAAACAACGGTACTATAGATATTTAGTATCAGAAATAGTACTATTCTTAATCATATGATATCTGGTTACCATTAGCCCCTGGCTTTAAGCACCCACTGCGTAAAGGAATCCCCGCTTTACGGAGTTAATAGTAATGACATCCTCTGCTATGATTCGTACGCTTTCGACAATTTAATCTTATGATACATACGGTTGCCAACCTTTGACGCGTTAAGAGCATTGCCACCGGTAGGGGCAAATGTTAAGTAAAAGTAAAATTTGCCTTCCAACTGCTGAAATTGTGTGGCACCGGTTGAAGCAAACATGAAGAAAATCTAACCACGACGCAAATTCGGGGCATCGTGCAGTCATATATTCGTGCAGGATCCCCGCTCTGCGTCGGACAGTGGCATCCTGTAGACCAATCAAAAGCTTCGGTCGATGTGTGGATGAGAGCAGAGAGCACAAGATCTCACTGCGAGATTAGATCGTATCATTACCTGTCGCGATCTGTTGGACTTTGGTTTCTTGTTATGCCGCCGCCTCGTGGTCGTAATTACGACGCTGCGGAAGATCTTGAACTCGCTAGAGCATGGGTGCTTGTGTCGACCGACGGGTCAAAGGGAGTAAACCAGACTGCTGAATTGTTTTGGAGTCGAGTGAAGAAGACGATGGAGGAGTCTGACGCAATTTCTGAAGCGATCCGGACCGGTACATATGATCTAAGATCATGGACGTCATTACGATCACATTTTAAAGACATATCCAAGAAGGTTTCCAAGTATGTTCGATGTTTGCAGAAGATCGAGTCACTTCAAGAGTCTGGATCAAATGAAAAAGACAAATTGTTAAAAGCACAAGAGCTATACGATCGGAGAACAACAGTATTTTTCAGTATCAAGTTTGCTATGCGGAGCTCGCTAAGTGCCCAAAGTTTCAGAACTCCTTTATGGATACACGCAAGCGCAAATCCGTGGACTCGGATGCCCGACCGTCTGCTGGGGCTGTTTTGCATGAGGAGACAACCTCGCCACAACTGGAGCAGCAAGAGCCTGATCTAGAAGCTAAAGGAGTAAAAGCTTCTAAGAAACTACGGGCACAAGTGAATCTTCAAGCACGAGCCGTTAAAGCGCATGAAACTCTTTCCATTTCTATGGCTTCAAAGACAAAAGTTGCAAAGTCGCACCTCCGCATCCAAGAAGAACGGGCGCTGCAGTCCATGTTAAACGAGCTTTACGCAATTGAGCCAAGAGATGAAGAGCATGGCGCATCTCTGCGAAGTAGACGAAGCAGTCTATTGGAGCGTCTGGGAGCTTTCACCACTACTAACGCTAGCGGCTCGACATCGTCAGACGTCAGCAATTGAGTTTCAGTAAGAAACAAGCATGAATAGAAACGACCCTTTCGATTTGTTTTATTTTCTTTGTTGATGTTTTGTGAAATGAAAAGAAATTGTAGCGATTACCATTTGATATGAACTACTTTCACCAGCATGGTAAGTCCATAAATGATTTATCACATCGTTGCGCAATTTGAAATGAGCTGCTTCTTTTTCAATGCTGGTAATTCGCGACGCAAGCTCATGAATTGATCGTGGACGAATTCCATCCGGTCTATTCACAACAAATTCAGGACTTGGACAAGTTACATCATGCCCGTCAAATAGATATTCATGAACGTCTCGTAATTCACCGCGTCCATCCTCAACAATCATGTTGTGCAGGATTAAACACGCACGCATCATTTTGCACATGTTTAACCTAGATCGCAGTCTACAGGGAAGACTGAGTATGCGCCAGCGCGCTTGAAGAACGCCGAATGCTCTTTCAACATCCTTTCTGCATGCTTCTTGTCTGATGGTGTAATATTTTTCACTATTTCCTCGAGGCTGATGAAGCGGCTTCAAAAACACCGGCCAGTCGGGGTAAATTCCGTCAGCTAAACAATACGTCATCGAATACGGTTTTTCATTCAACTTGTACTCCACACGAGGAGATTCACCGCGCATTAATGCATCAAACACTGTGGACCTGTCCAAAATGTTAATGTCGTTTAATGATCCAGGATGGCCAAAATTGGCGTGCCAAATCCAGAGCTCTTCGTCTGCACAAACCTCTAGCACCACTGTTGATTTCTTTTCCTTGCCTTTAAACTGCCCAGCCAAAGATGATGGATAGTTTTTCCACTCCCAATGCATACAATCTATGCTAGACCACATACTAATAAACCCACGGCGAGCGTTTGACTCCAATAATCGTAGCAAGTCCGAGTCTGTTGGTTGCCGTAAGTATTCCTCCCCAAAACATGTATTAACTGCGTCAATAAAATGTGGCAAAGAGTCGTAGACGACTGTCTTACTCATCTCCAGATTTTCGTCCAAAGCGTCTGCAGAGTCTGCGTAAGCAAGAACCCGAAGAGCTGTAGTCACTTTCATCAGCGGATGAATGCCCAAGTCCCCTTTGCAGTCAGGGCTTTGCTCGAAATAGGAGTCGGTGGTTAAAACACCATCGAAAATGCGCACGAACAACGTTTTGCTCATTCGAAAGGGGCGTCTAAAATCATCTGCATTGTAGACCGGATTTGGGCCAAAATACTGCTCGACCATCCTCTCGTAGCGAGCTCTAAAATCACGACGCTTGTTGGGGGCTTTTCCTGGTAATGAGCCTCCTCTTCGTGTACGCGTTGCCTTCTGGAATATGCTGTGTCACGCTTTCTAGGCCCGTGAATAAGGCAACAGCTTCGTCATCTTCTGCTTCACTCTCGTCCTATTCGTCATGGAAGCTATCCTGGCCGGCGTCTTCGTCCATCTTGGAAAGCAACAAGCCGTATGTTTTCTGCTTCTCCGTATTAGCGTTAAACTTTAGTTGAGATATGACTGGTACCGGTGCGAAATCAGTTGTAGCAAAAATATGTAAAGGTTTAGTCGCACACAAAATGAGGTCATTTTTCCCTATCCTTTTACTCTACCGGTGACAATGCTCTAAGAAACGATTCAGAGATTGTCAACCGTATGTCTCAAAACATTAAAACCTCGAACGTTGTGGCTCTGAAATAAAGCAAATAACCTCGTTTTCGGCTACTGTACCATTTTGTTGCGAGAGGAACTCGTTCACTTTACAGCTCTTTCCCCGAGAAACGACATCGAGCCAAGATAATCATGCAATCAGGCTACGTTTTGCTCGTGGCGCTGGCTACCCTCGTCTTCTCACAAGAAACTAGTGGTTCGACACTTTCCTTTCCGAGTACAAGTCCTTTGGATTCTGTCAATGAGCAGGAAAGCAACCTGTCCCTGAGGAGGCACACAGAAGACCATGCGGTTGATAAAGAGGAAAGGGCACCGACATGGATAAAAAAACTAACCAACCTAGCTGACTTGGGAAATGCAAAACTACCAGACCTGGGAAAATTTAAGCTAAACCTACCAGACTGGGAAAAGATCGCGGGCTACGGGAAAGCTACTGACACGGCAAGCAAACTTCTAAGCACGAAATCCGATGATTCCAGGCTTGAAATTATCAGTGGAGTTAAGGATATCGACGAGATGAAGGCCCTCTTTGCGATGTCCAAGCCTTTCCTGAAGAAGATGTTTCCAGACTATGACGACACCACGTCCTTGGAGGCGCTTTCGACAATGATAAAAAATTCTGACTTGAAAGAAGACGTGAAGGCATTGGCTTTGTTAGCATTCCAACGCTATGCAGACAGCGTAAGAGCCGGTACCTCGAAACTGGATGTTTCTCCGTGATGAATTTTGTTGGCGGCATCAACCTCAAGACAGATAATAGCACAACCAGTGCTTCTGTATATGTGTTGAGTCATCTTAGTAAGCAAAACAAATACCACTACGTTCCACTTCTCTTGTCCCTGTTGCCGGATTTGTCAATATTTGTCGTGAAGGGATTTAATTTGTAACGGGGTTACATGGTGTGGAACACACAGGGGTACGAAGTACCCGGAGAGTTAGCAAACTCTCAGTACATAAGTTGGAGAGTTAACAAGGTCTCTCAGTACGTTAGCCGAAAGCCACACGTTATGCATTTGCTTAGGTTTAACTATGCTAGATAGTTAAAGAGATACATTTACCCCTAGGCGGCTTGGCCGCAATAATAGTAAATAAAACACTTCTGGTTTTGAAGCATAAAAGTTAAGGTGTTAACTTTGAGCCCTGGTCTTGGGCTGTAAGTGTCCTTTGGATAAGGAACTTAGTATTAGTGACTCTTTGAGTCGAACGTCTTCCTCTGACGCTAAAGCTACGGCAGCCCCGCTGCACTTGGTAGCACTTGTAGTCAATCCCGCTCCTGAGTCGGTTGACTATATCCTCTGCGAGGATGGAACACCCCGTGTTCGCGAATTTGCCCCCGGCGCAGCAGGACGCGCTTACTAAGCTTATGTCCTTGCTTGGCCCGGAGGGCGTGGCTCATCTTGCATCGCAAGATCCAGAGGCGGTCACTGCCAGGCTGGAATCGTTCTCCCGCTACGAGAACGCGCTCTTGGAGCATGTCCAAGAGAAGATGAGCGCCGCAACGGCGGCGGCGTCGATGACGCGTGAAGAGTCTATGAGGCTGAAACCGCTCATGGTGAGCGTAAAAACCTTCGAGGGGAAGGATGGAGAGAATCTCCTTCTCTGGACCCGTGAGGTCGAGATGGCCATGGGATCGGCCCTGCTCCAGTCTGAGCATCAGCGCGTGGCGCTGGCTATCTCCAGGCTTGGAGGTCGCGCTCGCGAATGGGCACTAACGTGCGGCACGTCTGTTGACGCTTCATTTCCCACTTGGGATCAGCTGAAGCAACAGCTTTCGCGCGTGTTCGCGCCGCCTAATCAGGCGTACCGTATCCGGTCAAAGTTCCTTGCCACCCGGCAGGGTAAGAAGGATTTATTGGACTATGTCCAAGAGTTGAGAACTCTTATCGCTGGAATGGCGGCGGACCCTCTTCCGGAACTGCTCAGCGTGACCGTGTTTATGGAGGGACTTCGTGTGAGCGCAGCTCGAACGGAGGTGTTCCGTGTACACCCTAACTCTTTTGAAGAGGCGGTGGATGTGGCATTGAATGCCGAGCACAACTTCAGGTCGGCGCGACCTGGTTGGAGCGCTGGTAGCGCAAGCTCTTCGAGCGGTCCAGAGCCGATGGACCTCAGCTATGCTGAAGATGAAGAAGCGGAGCTTCTTGCTGCGGAGCAGCGCGCCGGCATCCGCCGATGCTTTGTGTGCAATAGCACTAAGCACTTGAGGGCCTATTGCCCGCTGCGCAAGAAGCGCGAGGCTCCGGTGAGCCAACCCTCCGGGTCATCGCCGGGAAACGGCAACTCCCAGTAGGCGCGGGGCGGCCTACTGGGGAAGAACTGAGTTATGTTGTGCCTCGAAGAGGTAGAGGGCAACGGGGCTCAGCCCCGAAGAGAGCTGAGCTCTCTTACGAGAAGAGTGTGTGCAAGCCGGGCTTGCTGGTCGTTCAAGCGAACGTGAAGGGCTTTGCAAAGCCATGGAGAGTCTTGATTGACTCGGGAGCCTCGGGCAACTACGCCCGTCGCTCCACCCTAGAAGGGAGTCAGCTGTATGCTGAAGCACTGGAAGTGCCAACAAGAGATACGATCTCTGTCCGTCTCGCGACGGGGACACTGGTAACTGTGTCGAAGGTCTCTGTCGACCTTGGAGTGAAGTTTGAGATCTTCGATAGCGTGGAACGCTGTTTGGTCTTAGACCTGGATGCGAGGTATGACCTCATCCTTGGCATGGTATGGCTGGAACGCCATGAGCCATGAATCGACTGGAAGTCGAAAACGCTGGGTGCGTCGCCCCCTTGCACCTTAGTGAAGTTTTGGTGAGTCATGAACCCACCTCTGCTAGGAGCAGAAGCGCTTTTGGCGCGAGCACGAGGCCGAGGCGGCCGTAGTGCTGGACATTGGTATGTCCGAAATTCTTAGCAACGAGGTTGCTCTTTGACCTGAGGGCGTACGTGGTGCGGCACGCTATCCGCTGAGAGGTGCAGGTCAGGTCAATGACCAACTGCTGGGTCCTGGTGAGGACGAGCGCGGAGTGGCGCGTCATCCACTGAGTGGTACGAATCTGGTCGATGACCTACCGCTGCGTGACCCGAGGGTCGCGGTCGACTGCGAGTCGAGGCACCATGGGCGTGGCCCAGGAGATGCAGGTGAAGTGACACCTAGTTCACTGTGTGAAGGTCGAGGACCTCTTGGCTTTCAGCCGTGTGTCTTGCGAGACACTGTATCCTCTTCGAGGAGTGATGGTGCTGCTGCACCCGGTGGTGGTGACGGAGATGTCGCCACACCGCCCTCATCCGGCCGGGCTCGGTCGCGGAGGGAGAGGAGAAGAAGACGCAGGGCGTCTGTGACGTCTTCGACGTCGGACGAGGTGTCCAACGTGACGAGCGGTGATGCTCCACGTGATTGCTGTGAACAGCTGTATACACTCGTGAACGGAGTGACGGGGAAGGTAGAAGGCGATATCAGCCTTGACACTCTGCCCGCTGCAGAGGCTCTACTAGAGCTGGACGAGATGTCCATTGCCGAGTTTGGCGAAGCCTTGAACGCAGGCGAGCCAGCCGAGGTGGTCCTGCTGGGACCTGAGGAGGAGTTGAACTCCTCATCCGTCGTGGACGACGCTGTCCTACAGGACACCAAGAAGGCGCTGAGCGCCAGAAGTGGATCGGCGATCCTCAAAGCTCCTTCGGATCCCTTCAATCCTGTGGTGAAGGAGTATGGAGACGTTGTCTCGAAAGACCCATCGATGAGCCTGCCTCCGGATCGAGGCGTATGTCATGAGATTGACCTGGTTCCTGGAACCAAATACTGCGTGACAAAGCAATGGCCTTTGCCGAGAGAGCAGTGTGACGCATTCTTCCGTGCGAAGCACGAGGCAGGGATGGTGCGTGAAAGTAAGTCTCCGAACTCGACACCCACATTCTGTGTCAGAAAGCCGAACGGCAAGTGGCGCATTGTTCATGCTTTTAACAAGCTAAATGCGACCACTATCCCGGCGCAAACGCAGATTCCTCGCAAGGATGTTCTGCAGAACAACATGGTAGGCTGTACGTTGTACAGCGCGCTCGACTTGGTCGATGGTTACTACCAATTGCTCATGAGAGCGAGCGACATTCCGCTGACAGCGGTGAGTACTCCGAGCGGTATGCTCTGGGAGTGGCTGGTGGTGCCCCCGGGGCTATCGAGCGCACCAGCAACGCTCAATCGTATTGTGACGCTGTTGTTTAGGCCCCACCGGGCGTACGCTCAAACGTACTTTGACGATATATTCGTCCACAGTCGTGCTGAGCACGGAAAGTCAGACGTGGATAACCACATTGACCACTTGCGAGCGGTGCTCGACCGCATGCGCACTAATAAGTTGTATGCCAGCTTGGACAAGTGCGTCTTTGGCGCGGAGGAGATACCTTTCCTCGGGTGCTTCATTGGGAAGCGAGGCTTAAGGGCAGATCCTGCCAAGGTCAAGGCCATCGTGGACTGACCGGTTCCCAAGAATCAAAAAGACTTACGCAAGTGGCTAGGCTTAGCCAACTACTTGCACAAGTACAGCGCGAACTACGCGGAGATGGCTCGGCCATTATCAGATCTCCTTAAGAAGGACGCACCATGGTGCTGGAACGTCGAGCACGACGGAGCATTTGAGGCTGTGAAGGAGAGCCTCCTCCAGGCTCCGATCCTTGCGCTACCGGACCCGGATAGTCCGTTTAGCGTCGTCTGTGACGCATCCGATTTGCAATCGGTTGTGCTTTACAACAAGCAGATGCCGAAGGGCGTGAACGCGTGATTGCGTTTGAGTCTCGCCAGCTCAAAGCTGCAGAGAAGAACGATCCAGTTCATGACAAAGAGCTACTTGCAATGAAGTATGCTCTAGTCAAATTCAGGGTACACCTGCTAGGATCTAAGCCTTTTGTGATCTTTACTGATCATGCGTCGTTACGCACTGCGACACAGTCGCCTCATCTCTCTCAGAGAATGGCAAGATGGCTTTCCTTCTTTGCCGAGTATAACTTCGAGGTGAAGTACAAGCCGGGGCGGCTTAATGTAGTGGCCGATGCGCTCTCGCGCAGGCCGGACTACGAGCTAGCTCATGTCACGACAGTGACGTCGTCAGTGCCTGACTTGATACGCGGAGCGTATGCACAAGACGACATGTGCGTAGCGCTGCTACGGGCTCTTGGGAGCGAAGAGTTTAAAGACTCTGACAAGGAATTGTCTGGGCGCTTACGCGCGAGGCTGCATCGATACTCACTCGATGGCGGCCTGCTGTACTACAGCACCGACGCTGAGGATAACCCTCGTGTAGTCGTTCCTCATGATGAGGATCTAAAGTATCGAATCCTCTACGAGGTTCATGATACGCCCGTGGGCGGGCACTTAGGTCGGGAGAAGACCTATGGCTCGGTGAGCTCGATGTACTGGTGGCCCAAGATGTATAAGTGGGTCGGCACCTATGTACGCACGTGTGAGACGTGTCAACGGACAAAGTCCGCGCCGAGCACGGCAGCGCCATTGGCGAGTTTGCCTGTCCCCAAGGGATGTTGGCAGTCCATGAGTATGGACTTTGTGTTTGGCCTTCCCAAGGATAAGGCGGGAAGCACGGGGTATTGTGGTCTTTATAGACCGATTGAGCAAGATGGCTCATTTAGCGGCGGTGCCGGACACCATTGATGGTGAGGGTACAGCTTTGCTGTTTTTAGACCGAGTCTTTCGCCAACATGGCTTGCCTGAGGCAATTGTCTCGGATCGAG